TATATATATATATATATATATATATTTTATTTATTTTTACATAAAAAAAGAAAAATATATTATTGCTGTAAGATGAAATAATAAAGTTACAGTAGATGCATGTTAGCGAGCCTCGTCAGGGGTTGCCATTAGTTTTTTTTTGAAAATCACAGAATTTTCATGAGTTTGCCTTGCAGATTGCATTACAAGGCAAACATAGCATTATGGTGATGAAGCAAATCTAGGCTATGATGAGGAATCTAAATGTTTTATAATGCTCTAGAATGACATTTAAAGTAAAAGGCTGCTGCCGCTTTCCGTCTGTCCCATATGTCATGTTAAAATTAGCTAAAAGCACTGAAGCACAGCAAAAACTTCTCTGCAGGGCTTTTTTCAACATATAATTAACTCAAAACTCAACTACATATTGTATGGTATGCGTACCATGTATTAACAAGTTATATAAGACCAGAGACAGGAAAAATGCCATCTACAGCCTAAAATTTCAGCAAAGTGTTCCAGACTAAACAGGTCATTGAATGAAAAGAGATGTGAGATGAGAAACTAAAGCCGTTTGTCTCAGGTCAGATATATTGTTAGAAACAAATCCTAAGTCTAAGTTCTGCTATCAGTTAGCAAAAGGTTCCTTAAAGAAATCTTTTTATGAAATCACACCAGGTGAAACGAACAATTCCACTTAAGGAGTTCTGAATAAAGCAAGTTGACCGACGAAAAAATTTAATTATCTTAAATGCAAAATGTTTATATATATATATATATATATATATATATATATTTATTATTATTTATTTTTTTTTACAATTTTGATATAATTACTGCTCTAAGTGGGTTGGTCTAAGTGGGTATGCTAAAGGCATATTTTATAGCCGCTATTCTCCATTTACGTTTAATCAATTACTATATTTCTCGACTATTATTTCAATAATCGACAAATAGCGATTAATCCGATCATTGTTGGTTTTACACCCAAAACCAAAGCAAAGGAAAATGCTGCGTATTGCAAAAACAGCAATTTAGGAAAAACTGCAAACTGGCTCTACATAATAGAAATGCACAAATAGAAGTTTATTAGGTGGACAGGACATGTTACAGTTCAACTATAATGACTGCTGTGAAAATATTAAGAAGTGCAAACTGTTTAGGTTCAATCCAATTAAAATGAGCAGCTTTGTGTTTGCTTCAGGCAGTCTTAAGAGTGTTCGCGAGAGCTGGAGGTAATAATAACAATAATTATTGAAAATTAAGGAGTTTCAATCATATTTTCAGCAGATAATGTCTTAGCTGAATTTATCTCCACAAACTCTCCTCAAAAGCTTTCTTATCACATATAGGCTTTATAGGCTAGGTAGGCTTATAATAATTGAATAAAACCCAACTGTACTTTTAAGGAACCTGTTAAAGAACATCAAGGGACAAAAAACTCTCTTGCCATGAGAAAAAGATACACACTTGTGTGTGAGTTCGTACCTGACTTTTAGAAGTGTGAAAAAAAGACACAAAAACTGCGACCACAGTTGAGTTTCAGATTTGAAAAAAATTTTTTGCAAGTACCAAGTGCTTAAATTTACATATCCTTCACCCATGAATTTGCACTTTTTTTTTTTTTTTTTTTTAGAATGGGTCTTCATATTGAACAGAAATACGAGCTGTCTGCATATTTGCAAAAGCAAATCACTGAAGATCTGGCCCTTAATGTCTCTGAGTATCCCATTTATTTCTGTATTAGGTTTCTGTTTCAATATACACACATTGTTATGAGATGAACTCAAAGGTCTACACCTTTTTCCATAAACACAATATAACCATGTCCCTCAAATATTGCCTACAAACCAGTCTATATCTGTGAAAGTGAGGATTTATCCTTTGCTGAGATTATCCATCCCACCTCACAGGTGTGCTCTGTCAAGATTTTGATTGACAACCATAATTACTGCACCTTTCAGAGTGGCCTGTCATATTATACTCCCATGTTTGTGCTTATGTTACAATTTATTTATGTATTTATTTTTTTTTAAGGACTGCAGAAACAATGGAAAAGTGAATTAGAAAGTGCAACAACATGAATATATATATTAATTTCACTTATATGCAAGGAGGGTGAAAAATGGCTCCTCAAAATGTAAATCTTTCTGAACCTGTTCTTAGGGGAAATACTGCCAAAGCACTAGCGACGTCAAGCAAGCTAAGACGATGTTGTTCAATAGATGGTGTGAAGAATCATAGAGGAAGGACCGAGCGCTGCACAGATTGGCTTGAAATTACTTGTATACATAAGGCTTTATCTTGCAGGTTTTCACAGAGTCCCTCAAACAGGGACACACTTGGTGCATCATTCTGTGCCCTTTTATTTTGGCTGAAATTTAGCACTAGCTGCAGACATCTGGGACTGTTTACACTGACCACAGGGTGCTGGGTAAACTGCAGGCGAGAAAATGCATAACAATAACACACAAGCCCTGGCCTCACAATTGGCGAGCATACATTTATGACCACCTGAGTAATAACAAGCTGGTCTGATTCTACAAAGCTAAGAGTGTACCAAGATCCTAGAAGCATTTTCTTGAAGTCGAGTGGCTCCTTCATGGATCTAGGCTGCTTTTGACCAACAAATCTTTAAATTTTTCAAATCAATTCTACTTTTTCTTCATGGCAGGTGCATTATTCTGCTCAATGAAGGCATGGTCATAATGTAATACAATTTCCTTAAAAGGCTGATATGGTTTCCCACAATGATTTTGTAGGTTGCATCAAGGTACGGTAGATTAACATTTACTTGGATAGCAGGAACCAAAGATTTACAGCACTGGATTAGTCAAAGCATAAACTTTATTTCTACTGGCCTCTCCTCTGCCCTAGTGCATTAAGGTAAATCAACACATGCAATGTAAAAGGCACTCTAGCTCATCTGTGGCAATGCAGTATATACCATACTGTGTGATATACTGTGTATAATGACGCTTTCTTATCAGAACTTGCCTTAACCCCCCTCAGAAGTCTGAGCTGCAGTAGCTCACATAAGCAAAGAACCACAAAGTTTTTGTTCCTAAATTCACCAAGTACATTGTTCCTGGATCATTATTAATAGACACTGACCTCTATAGAAAACCATAAAATATCCACACCAAGTCATCTTGCCATCAGAGTCCAGCTTTTGTCAAAATCATTCAAATCCTCACACTGACCCATTTCTCTTCCTTCTAACAACTTGCCCTGCAAAATTTAATTTCAGCCTCATATAATCTGCCCACAAACAGCACAGAAAAAAATAATGCAACCACTTTTGGCATTTACTTAATCAAATTTAGTTACTTTAACACAATTGTTTTATGTCCTTCCCAGCTACCATGAAACAATCTTGTTAAAGTAACTAAATATAATTAAGTAAATGCCAAAAAATGGTTGCATAATTTTTTTTTTATCACTGCAATGCACTTGACCTGTTAAAAGACACAATGTTATGCCTGATCAGTGGTATGTGTGGATCTTAGCATGCAGCTGGAGGAGAGGTGAGAGGTCCCCTGCCAGGCTCTCATAATTGACCGCAGGTCTGTGCTGGGCTGCTTGTCTGGGGTGTGTGTCATCCTCAACTACATGGAGAGAAGGCGCATTCAGTGCGTGTATTTCTGTCACTCAGGAGGGGAGCAATGGAGGTAGAGAAGTAGGGGTGGGTTACCATATCCGCTTGCACATATATATACACACGCCGATGCACTTTCGTCCTGGTTGAGTTTTTTAATAAATGAGTCCCGCAAATATCCAATTGCAGCATCATTGGCTGCCCATGATGGAGGCAAATGACGCCACCCTAGCCATGCGACATGAGCACAAAACGTAAGCAGGGATGCTGGGATTAAAAAAGCAAACAGAAAGCAATTGCACTGGTCTGCAAGCCACGCTCATGAGAGCGCATTTAGCCTCCGCATCATAGGTTAGGCTGCTGGATGAACTGTCAGCGGCGCGCACACGCACGTTCACGCAAACAGACTCTCCAGCGTCCTTAAATCAGAGCGGCCTATTGCGTAAGAACCTGACATTTCCAATGAAGGAGATGATAATATGTGATAAAAACAAACAAAACGTGTGCGCTTACTTCCCCAGCTCCTCGAACAGCTGATACTCGTCGGTGAATCGCGTGCAGATCGTTAAGGCCATCCTGAAGCAGGTGCAGCGGAGGAGTGTGGAGGGAGGGGGGTTTGAAGGTGTACGGAGAGGCAGAGAAGGTGCGCTCACAGGCTCCAAAAAGCCGTTCGGATTTCTACTCAACGTGCAAACAAGGAGAGATTGGTGCACAGCGAAGGCGCATCAGCAGGATCTCAGACTATTGGAATCTGCGGCAGAATGCTGCCTGCGCGCGCGCGCGAGCTTCAGAGGTTCTGTTCCACCCGGCGGTTGGTTATTTTCCTCACATCGAGCGGCTGGTCACAGCTCGTGGACGCAGCATTTTGTGTGCATTTCGGTGTCTTCCGTGCGTGCGCCGCTGAGCGTTGTCTCTTTGCGCGCATCAGACGCCGCACTACCGCACCTACCCCCAACTGTGCGTTCAGTCCCGCCCCTTTGCCTGCATCCTCTCTCAGGCCAATGGCAGTCTGACAAAAATATAACACGGGGAGTACTTTTAATGGCAATTGTAGCTAGAAAAGAGAAATATTAAGAAATATATGGTCGTTGCATATGATAATAGGAGCAATATTTAAAAAAATTGGCACTTTTGTTAAATATGCAAATATGCAAATGAAAAGTCCGGATTTATTGCTGACCCTTTAATATTTGCTATTTTATTTTCGTCATTGTAAAGTAGTTTATCACTACATCACAGTACATTTGAAAATAGGCATGAAAGTGTGCTTTTGCAGCAAATGCACAGCTTCGGCAGCAAAACATTAAAAGCAAGCCATAATAATAATTTCAACAAGAAACATCACAGCCTTCTAGCATTTTCATGGTAATAACATTTCCAACTCAATAATATTACCAGGAAAAATATTCAATACTCTATACCATTTTGGATACCATGGGAATAAAAAATGCCAAACAATTAATATATAAAAATATATATTTTTTAACATCAAAAGTTCACAATTTTCAATCTTCTATTGGTTAAATAATTGTACAAATAAATATAAAATAAATTACCCCAAATATAACAAAATCTGACAACACATTTAGGTTGTTTGAGGTGTTATTCTTGTGTGCAGATTGCACTATAAGGCACACACACCTTGTGACTAATAATCTAGAATTAACAATATCCAAAAATATGCAAACAACACTTGTACTCACTTTCAATACTTGCAAAATTAGTATTATCTCTGGAAGCAACATTTGAGTATCAAAACTTTTTACAGTATTGTTACTTTTAACATCCCTACATTATGTCATTGGTGGTAGCTATGTATATTTTCAGTTCACATTGTTCATACCCGGTCCATTATTAATAAGAGAGTAATCTCCATGTGATGCTAAAATGAAAAAGCTTTTTACGGTATTTATTCCAATTAAGTATAACAAAACATTTAATATTGAGCAAATTACACAGAGGTATAACTCCTGTACCTCAAGCTTGGTAAGCTGTATGAAAGAGAACCCCAAATGTAAGATGCCCTCCTATATATCCTGAAGATACGTCTTGTTAAATTTCTTCAGATTCTCCCATAATCTAAGATAGCATTTTTCTACATCCACCTCCATGCCACTGCATAAGGTAACAGAAATACACAAATCGGCTTGCATCTAACACAAATCCCAGATAACTTTTCTAACATCTTTAATAAGATAACCGTGTTAAACCAGGATGAAGACAACACACAACATTAATGGCTTTCAAAGACATATATTCTTTTATTTTTACTGTTGCCGTCATGAAGTGAATTTGTATACTGTATTTTAACAGATTTTAATTAGATCTTAGGATATTTTCTGTAACCCCTAAAATGCACTAAACCGTCCAGTTGCTTTATCCCTGACCTGTCTGATGTTATGTTGTGATGATGTTGTCTTTTGTTTAATGATCGCCAACAACTGTCAGATGACTTCAAATAAGTGTATTTATGAGTATAAATCGCAAAGGTACCCTTTCTTTACAAAATGATAGCTCATGGCTGTTGTCTTCAACTTTGTTTTTGGGGTAACAGCGAAAAATCCTGTTTTTTATAAATATTCTTAGATTTGCACTTGTTATCTGACAAATCAAACCCTATCCAAGCACTGTTAGTCTCCGGTTTCTGTAGTATTTCTACCTCTGTTTACTACAAATTTGTTTAAATTGGGTTCACAACTAAAATGAAATAAGCACCCAGCAAATAGTTATGTCCAGAAATAAGCTCCTCTGAAATATTAGTCTGGTCTGCTCAGATATTTTTGCTCTATGGCAAACAAACATTTCCCATGCTTGCTAATTTCATTGGGGCGCCCTCATCTAGTGTATTTCAGTCTCTTTGCCAATAGTTCTAAAGTGACCCACTTTCTACAAAGGATTTAATTCTTACTTTAATATTTCCACATAATTTTATTTCCTCATAATACCATCTATTTTGTGAAATGCACCACTCTATTTCATAGCAATTTGCTCTTCCAACTTGACCCTATCATTGCTTTGCATTAGAGTTAGAATGGTTTCCTCAGCCGCTGAAGTTTCCCTTCAATTGTATAGAAATGCTTTACCACACTAGGCAGCTTTATCAAAAATGAATGTACTTTAGTCAGTTTGTAAACTGTACCTTGGTTTTCTCATATTGTTTTTGTTTTTGTTCTCATCTTTCTCTTTTACATGCTTAGTAATTTTAGCATATGAAATCTTGCAAGTGTTATATGTTATATATGTTATAAGTATGCAATCATTATGTGAATTTGCCTATAAATAAATTATTTCAGTGAGGTGTATGCATGCAAGAAAACATCTAAAACAGGCAGGGCACAAAGATCTCAATTAACCTTCATGACACTGAAGGCTTTCATTTTGTCAGAAGATAATTTACCAGCTCTTACAAAAAAACTTTGGAAACCACCAAATGTTTCAAATCAAGTAGCAGAATATGATGAAATATACTCTTAAAATAAAATCCCCCAAATATTCCACCTTTGTTTTTT